TCGGACAAACGCCAGGGTCAAACAAAAAAACACTCATTTTCATTTATATACAAACAAACTCTTTCTTTTAATTGTTTCGGTTTGATATAAATAATTCCTGTTCACCGCTGCATGATTTCAAACATTAGAAAAACTTCTCATTTTAAACATATGTTTAAAATGTGGTGAAGCCTTTTTCTTCCAGAATAAAATTCTGCAGAACTTTACGCAGAAAGCCTACGAGTTGTGTGTGCTAAAGTATCCAACGATGTTTCTTTCTATTACGCGTTAATCCATCTTAAACTTCAATCCTACATAAACTACGCAGGGTTTCATCGTGGCCTGCGCAAAGGTAAGAAAACATCGTCGGATATTTTATAACGACAACCCGCAGGGATCCTGCGTAAAATTCTGCCGGATCCTGCGTGAATTTTGATTATTTTGTTCCGTGGGAAGTTCAACGAATGACTTTCACCGTATTTCTTCCTGAAATCTTTAATCCTTTACCTACCATAGCGGTTCCAGAAGAGTCATTGATAAAATCCCCACGCGAATAGAGTATTGGTCTCCCCAATATGGCAATAGTGTGAACAGATCGACCAGGCCGACTCCCTTTGTGCTGGTGAGTTTGGTCATTCCAGTAACCAGTGAAGAACGGAGGGCGTAGAACGACTTGAAAACATCCAACTTTTTTCCCTTTTATGACAGTGTTGATTTTGCCACAAATGGCAACTGTTTTTTTGTTTGACTAATATTCACAAAGGAAAGCTGATTACATGAAAAAATATTTTCTTAAGAACACATATATTTTGGACAGACATTTAGAAAAAAGCATCTGGCTTTACTTAAGTATTTAATACCATCCTCGAAAAAATTTTATCGATAATAAAATATTGTTTCAACTTCTAATGTAATAAGATGTTAAATGATATATGTATGATCTAGGTCAATCTCCACCTCCTCCAATAGTCACTCCAGTGCCCATTTTATGTCTTATCATCTCCTATCCGCCTACCTCTTGTGAAACTTTCGAAACGCATGTAATCCACTATTAGACATTTTCGTTGATATGTATCACACAGCAGGTCCTCAAGATGTTTATTACCTGTAGGTATAAAAGGAATTTTTAAAAAAGTTTTCAATTTTTTCAAATTTATCGAATTTGTAAATCATATATTCCAGAGATAGAGCACTGAAACAAAATATTTTTTCTACCAATCGATAACTTATGGAATTATCTTGCTCGAAAAAGCAATCCATTTTTTTATCACATGCGTCATTTTCTTTTTATAACAGTTCTACGAATGGGTCATGGGTGATCCCTCGGTAGGCAAAGAGTTAATGTGGGAGAAGAAAAGGAAACTCTCAAATCGAGCAATATCAATCAGAATTCTGCAGATTTCACTTTAAATCTATTGTTCTACAATCAATCTTTTGTTCAAGCTTCATGAAATGAGCATAATAGCTTTCTGACGGGGAAGAAAAGGTTGGATGTACAAAATAACGTACTTGCATCATGCATCCCTAGACGAAATCCTACGCACTTTCTACCTATTTTCTACAAGAATTTTAACATTTACGACATCTACAGTCTAGATACAGATCGTACTAGGAATTCGCTTAGTTTTATGTAAAATCTCACAAAATTCGGCGACGTTTTGAATGTCCCTCATTTGATTATCCCAAGGAAAAACTACCTGTGAGAAAATTCTAGATACATTTCGACTGTAAGTGGACGATGCACGACTAGTTGACATCTAGATTACTAGTTGGAAAAGGGGCTTTCAACTAGTTGCGTCTGGACGTGCAACTAGCAATAGTTAAATCGATCGATTATTGGCAATAAATCCACAGTTGCAACCGAGGAGAAAACTATCTATCGCCCGATTACTTGATTTCTACTGCCGTTACTAAATAATAGAAATCGCGTAAAAATCCAGTAATCTAGATAATCGGGCGATACTCGACTTTTTTTAATGCTTAGGTAGGATTTTGTTAGGATCCTAAGCGACCTTAAGAGAAAATCTAAGAGGATTCTGATATATATATATAGTTTAATTTATTTAACGAGGATTGTAATATACAAAAAACTTTTCCTCTCTACATATAACAATAGATAGAGTAGCACAAGAAGTAAAGAATGTTAAGTGAATCTTTTAGTGTCAACGATGTATTTGTGGAGATTATTTACGATAAGGATGTTTTGTTCGGGGGAAGATTAATTGACCTTTTTAGAATGAGTTCGGCAGTTGGTGGTGTTGCGGTAATCGATTTTATATTATTCAACAATATAGATCTTTCCTGGACAAATCGAAGGCATTTTAAAAAGTAGTGTTCATCTGTTTCAGGCTTGTTACAATGACTACAATTTGGTGTCGCAACTAAATGACGCTTATATTGGTCTGCTAACAGAAAGCTAAAGCCTAGGCGTATACCGGTCAGATGGATAATGCTTATCCGACTTCCTACATTATATCAAACTGGTGGCCGAGATGGAAAACTTAGGAGACTTTTCAATTTTATAGAGAAGTTCTCAGTATCTGTGATAGATCGTATTTCGTAGGGCAGTTTGTTCCAGTCATGTATGACGTTCACCAGTACTGACCTATCTACAAAAGATGTGTTGGATGTTGGAGGAACTATATCTATTGGTACATAGTGACGTGTCTGTCTAGTTTTTGTGTCTCTTTTTAACGTAATTAGACTTCTCAGGTAGGAAGGAGACTGATTGTGTATTATTTTATGAATGAATTATTTGCCTAACAGATGGTATACCGAGCTCAATTTGTAACTTATTGATGCACGTACCGCGACACGCTCCAGATATAATCAGAAGTGGCTCATTTTGAAGGCTTTGCACTCGGTCTACATTAGCTTGAGCTGTATTACTGTATAAGACCAGTTCGTACTCCATAACGACCAAAATATAGGATAAGTATATTTGTCTAAGAGCCGGTCGTGCCAGTGTCTTTTGCAAAGCTCTCAAGCTGTTCATCCTTTTACTTAGTTTGTTAATTACGCAGTCTATTTGTTCGTTCCAAGTTAAGTGCTGATCCAAAAGGAGTCCTAGATGTTTATGCTCTGTCACTTGTTTTAGCGTGTTACTGTTTAAGGAAAGTGGATAAAACGTTGCGTTCCGCCCAATAGATGAAAAGGTTATGTCTTCTGTTTTATGTGTGCTGAAAGTGACTAACCGTTTGTCTGTCCAGTCATTTAATTTATCCAAGTCATCCTGGATTGTTAGGGAAGATGCAGAGTCGTTTGATGTCACTGTATGTTTGTTGTGTCATCCACATATAGATATAACATGCTTTTTAAGTCCAGATTAGCGATGCCATTGATATAAATGAGAAAAAGGAGCGGTCCCAAGATTGATCCCTGGGACACTTCTGATTCAACCATTCCGTAGGACGAAGTGTGTCCTTCGACATGAACGCATTGCATCCTGTTTGACAGGTACAATCGAAACCATTCAAGTAAGGAACCTTCAACCCCTAACTGCTCTAATTTCAGTAGCAAACCATCGTGCCATACTCTGGCAAACGCTTTCGTTATGTCGAAGAAAACGCCTCTTACAGAATGACCTTTGTCTAACGCTAAGTATAGATGATGTGTAATTGAGGTAAGCTGATTAATAGTACTATCTCCTTTCTTAAAGCCAGATTGGTTCGTAGTAATAAAGTTCCTAACAAATTTTTCTAGACGGTAATATACAACCTTTTCTAGAACTTTAGATATCGAACTCAAGAGAGATATTGGTCTATAGTTTATTTTGTATGACTTATCTCCTTTTTTAAAAATAGGAACAACAACGTGTTGCTTCCATAACAGTGGAAAGTAACTGCAATCTAATGAGTAGTTTAGGAGGTCTGATAAAGGTTTTGATAAGGCGTCCTTGCATGCCTTTAGGACGAAATTAGTGATGTTGTCCAAATCGGGGATTTTTTGTTGGGTAACCGACTTAAAATTTTCCATATTTCAGCTTCATTTGTAGAAACATGGTCTAGCGTAAATTTACTCTTTCTTATGGCTGGCGGTGTTACGTGATTTATCGGAATATCAAGTTTAGTTTGTGCAAGAAAGTAGTCATTAAAAAGTTTAGCCTCTATTTTGGAAGCGTTAATTATTTCTTTGTTTTCGATTAGGGGAGGTATTATTCAGTCAGAACGGTCATTTAAAAAGGGTTTGATGGATTTCCACCATCTTGAGGTACCTGCGTGAGCAGCAGTCGTGTTCTCAATCAATGTACTAATTTCATCTGACTTTTCTTGTATCCGTAGATCGCAGTCTTTCGAATGCTCTTCTAACAGAAGTTGATAATAAAGTTTTCCAGTTCGTCTGTAAAGACGCAAAAGTCGTCTTCTTTTCCGTAACATTCGCCGTATGTTATTGTCTACATACGGAGATTTTCTTTTTGAAGTATCCAGCGTTTTTTCTGGTACGTATTTCTGAACTAAGTCCAGGAACGTGTTTGTCCATGTCTTAAAAACAGTTTCTGGATCAGTGTGTATCCAGTAGTCTAATCAGTCTGGCATATAGCTGTCACAAGTCCGTCCCAGTCAGCTTTCGCATAGTCCCAAATCTTTTGTAATATCTGATGTTTTTCGTTCATACAGCCTGCTAGCAGAGGAACATCTACATGTGCATTGGAACACAGATTCTGATCGTTGGTAAGCATTAAATCTAGCATGGAGTGTTGTGTCTTAGAATAATAATACGTAGGTTCAGTGACAAGTTGAACAAGACTATTATGGGCACAAAAGTTAAGCAGTGCAACACCTTCTGGTGTGTCAGTGTCTGAATAATGTGATTTGCTATGTCTAGAATTAAAGTCACCAAATAGACAATAAGTCACTAGTAAACGATTCTGATAAGTTGTGTTTAAGGTTGTGCTAGAAAATTCATAAGTCTCGTATTAGGATATATGTATATTTAGTTTTGGTACGGAAACTGTTTTCGAGAATAAACAAATTAAATTATAAATATATATTAACAGCATTATTTACGTAGTTATTTTCAGTATGTCTAGTCTGTGCACACTTCTGACACCATGCAGTCAGGTTTCAAGGCGCATTCGATGTCAAAATTGTGGTAATCAAATGAATCAAGTCAGTTGGAAACAGTGTTTAATATGCAAAGCGTTTAATTTATGTAATGAATGTGCATTACCAGATATTGAATTAGAACCTGCAGCCATTGTTTATCATACACAATTACACAAGAATATTGGATACAATGAGTGTATCGTTTTGAGGGAATGTATGCAATTGACACAGGTCACGAAAAATTTCGACGATGTAGAAACAAGTGTAGAAGAATTTTCTCGTATAATGAATGAGAATAAAATTCGAAATGATTATGATATGTCTGTTGTTACCGCAATATTAAAGGAAAAGAGAAATAGATCACAATCGCCAATTGAACAACAAGAGCAGCAACAATTGTCTTCCATGATCATAGACTATCATACACAAGGACACGGAAGAAATATACGTGTATTAAGCTTAGATGGGGGCGGTAATAGCATAAAAATCAATTTTCATTAGATGTAGACATTTACTCTTGCATTTGTTATTTGTAGGTATACGTGGTTACATGCCCATTCAAATTCTTTCTCATGTAATAGCAAAGAAATATCTTCCCGATATTGAACAATTTAATTCTAATGATTTAGAACATAGAGAACGATTTAAACAAGTTCAATCACAATTTACAAATAATTTCGATTATATTGTTGGCACTAGTACTGGTGGACTTATTGCTTTTTGTTTGGCTGTTAACTATAGTATATTAGATATGAAAGATATATATTCAAATTCTTCTTACTACTTCAAACGTAACTGGCTTGGCCCTTTACTATCGGCCAAATATGATCCCAGTCGTATACACAATAAAATTGATGAAATTATCGGTACAATTACGCTGAAAAATGGCAAGAAATTATCAGCTCAAAATGCTACTTTACTTGATATACATAATTTCTTAAATCCTGATCAAATGATTAATGATGATGGATTAACATCAATATGTTCTCATGGAGATTTGTTAGAATTTGTTGACGATATTGAGCAAGATAATAATGAAACTTGCAATGTCAATGTTAATCGTGTTAAACGCGAAAAGGTATTGCTTATTACTGCTTACAACACAACAATAAGTGGTATTACTATGTTTAATACAAGTTATGCTAAGCATTGGTACTATCGTATAGCAGATGTATTAAAGGCGACAATGGCTGCTCCCACATATTTTCCACCACATAAGATGCATAGAGGAATAATTGAAAACGGTCATTTCGTACCAAATAAGCATCAAAAAATATATGTTGATGGTGGTGTATTCGCCAATGATCCAGAATTAATGGCAATATGGGCAATACGAATGCAATGGAAAAAAATAATCAATTATCATTTACTTTCTATAGGTACAGGGCACTACGTTGACGATTTATCAGCCACAAACGAGGGTGGCTATATAGGATGGATATTCAACAAAGGATTACTTGTTAATACACTCATGGAAGCTACACGTAGTTTTACGGAAACAATTACGAATGATTTAACTAAATCCAATGATATCAAACGGATGAAATTTAATTTTAGAATTAAAAAATCTATGGAATTAGATGATCCGAATTTTATCTACGAATTTGATAAGGAATGGAAATTTTTCAAAAATGGAGAAGATTTTCAAACATTAATGAATTTTTATGATCAGTATATTGATATGGGACCAAATTAAAAGTAATGAAAATGTTATTCATGATCTTTAGATGGCTGTTACGTGATTTTCTCCATTAAGGAGAGTTGAAAAATATTGGATTACTAATATATTTTAAATACTTTTAAACTATGAGAGATCTTTCGAAGAATCTCTTCAATTTCATTTTATTTCTTAGGGGGAAGGTGTAAAGCGTTTTCATTTCAGTTCTGGTAAAGGTCTGTGTATTGGAAAGAGTGTTCACTTTCTAAAAAATAAAGGCAATAAAGAGGGATATTCGAATTGGGATGTATTTAACATTTTTACAGCGGAAGAATTTCTCTAATATCCCGATCTGGATATAGATTTATGGGTGGTCACTTTTCTTTGGAAAAAAGGCTGACGGAAAAAAAGAGTTAACCATGAGGAAAAAAGAATCTAGCATAATTTTTCCATCTCTCTCTAATGGTGATGCCAAAACTTTCTTTTAAAAAACAGAAAATTAAGCGCTAGACATAACATAACTGAGTGCAACCCCTTATGTAGTGATCTTTCTCATTAGATAACCACACAATGCATCGATTGCAAACTTTACTAGGTCGTGTTATTTTGAATTAATGATGTGTTCCTGTTGACCATACTACTTCTTTCATCGAATCGTACAGAACAACATTTTCATCATCTACTACTAACAATTGATATGGACTCTGTCCTTTGCCTTGTGTATTTGTTGACCAAAAACTATGATAAACATCACATAAAGTCATACTTCCATCGTCTGTTATTACCAACCGTGTAGGATGAAGTTTTGCTTTTTTTCATGTATTTGATGTCCATATTACTTGTGCATTTTCCGATGAAAAATTTTTACAACGATATAATACCATATTGTCATCATTTTGTAATTTCAAATGATAAAGTTGATTTTGGTGATGAAAGATAAGAATTAGATTTCAATATAGCACCCATACCAAGACAATTGCCTATCATTCTTTGAAACTAACAAAAAAAAGTAGGTACAAAGAATAAATGAGATTGAAATTACGCCTCTCACAAGTTGAGAAGTTAACTTATCTGAAATATATTGTGGATCGAAGGCGTATAATAAGTGAGGCAATCGAGAAAAACTGTCTTGCTTAGGCGTCGAAATTAGTAGTCTAACTTGGCAAATAGGCTTGAACTAATTCTAAAGAAATTTTTTCTGCATTTTGTAGAAGTGTTTCTCAGATACCTATACAAAAATATTCGTGGATAGATAACTTTTTGTTATCGAGAAAGGAGACCCTTATTGTATCTCAACGTTGTGTCATCCATCTGATGGATAACTTATACTGTCTGTCTGTGTAACCGCGAAACTTCGAATTGATTTGCATTTTATAGAAGACCATCTTTGTTTTCGGAATGTGTGTGAATTTCAAATTAAGATTTGTTGTTTCATTCAGGCGACTTCAATCTTTGAACATGATACGAGCCATATCCGAAAAGTGACATAGGCTAAAAACTTTTCTGTTAGGTATTCTTACATCCTGGTTCCGCCAGATTTCTCAACACACGGTAAAATCCCAGAAATGATAACTTCCTATTCCAGTATTGCGAAAAATTACCAATGGGCCGATTTCTGATCTTAGACTTATCCGTCCTTTAAAAAAAAATTGACGCATTGTAGTTCGTAACGTGAATTACAGCGACTTATGCACTCTCTTAACTGTATGTCTTCGAAATTATCATATAAAAGTCCACAGATTATTAAACTATTATAAAGTCATACTAGTGAGTTTGATGTAAGCTTATGCGAGTTTAAATACCGGACACACGCAAATCTAGCTGAGCGAATATTTAGACTGTTATGAATATTTTCAGCTCACCCTCAGATCAGAGATTATTAACGAGTACTATGTCTGTCCTTTCTCTCACAGCTTTGCATGTAGCGTGTGGTCTATACTTCATTTGAAATTTTCGTCGATCTCCTTCACATGCATGCGTCTGGGGACAGCAGTCTAAAATAATTGTGTGCTCTCGAGGGATCCCAGATCTACTGATTTTGGCAGAAAAATTCTGATTTTTGGAACTTTTCTGCCTTATTTCTTCCCTTTTTTGCCCTAAGGTCTACTGATTTTCTGATTCTCTATTTCTTTTTCTCACGTTTTTCTGATTTTCATGTTTTGGATCTGGGATTCCTGGTCCTCCGCGAACGCTCAATCATGCTTTCGCAGTCAGAGAACACTTATCCCTTCCTCGACGATCATGGATGAGAATGATACCACATACTGTGTCAAACTAAATTTACGTGAAGTCTTAACTTTCTTTGTAAATTTTCGTCGTCGTTAACGGGCAGCTTGATGCTTTTCGGATGTTGACTTTCATCTGGACGGTAGAACGTACATCACGAATTGCGCTCCGTAGCGCGACCCTGAAAATCTTTCATTCTCTTACCCAAGTCCGCTATCTTATCGCATGTCGCGGCGCGAGTCGCTTAAAAAATTCGCAGCAGGATCACGTAACGCGTTCGCTGTAAGACTCGCGAAATAAGACGCGATTTTTAGCGATCGCTATTTTTTCGCGCGCATACAAAAAACAATGACTCTCAAGTATTTTGCTATAGTTACTATTTATCCGCGTTTTCTGTCTAATATCAGTAAATGAGCCACGCAGTGGCGGATCTAGCCGAACCGCCGCCCCCTCCTCGCAAATGGACTTCTAATGCAAGTACACTACCTTCCTTAGAAAACATAATCATACTACCTCGGACAACGTCGTTTAGAAATCGCCACCCCGCCGATAGAATCCTGAAACCGCTCCGGGAGCCATGCTACTTGTGCCGCGAACGCAGACGAATGCCGACTACGCAAGACTATAAGGCTTTTTTGTAAAATAAGAGTTTGGTCGCGAACGCATCGCGACAATAACAACTTCTTCGATCTTGGTGCGACTTCGCGATCCGAGCGTGATCACTGTAAGAAAAAATGGTCGCGTGGCGATCGCGCATTACACATTTTTTGTAAAATATTCTCTAGTTAGTATAGTTCTCTTTTTTTCCTTAAATATACAGTGTGTGGCTATGGTCCATGTACTAGTTTGTTCAATTTTTCGTTGGCTATTTTTCTATATCAAGCTTTACCATAACTTTTGGGATCACTCGTTACTTTTAAATCCTTCAAAATCTTTAATGTGTCGGTCTAATTTTAACTGTTCTATTTCTGTTTCAAGTTCTAATATTTCTTTGACGTTTTGTTTTGGTATTTCGATGTTGAGTAACCCTTTTTTTAGTAGTTGATTTAGAAGAACAGTTCTTCAAAAAGCTCTACAATATTCTAAATAAACAAACTCTATATATCATTGGCTCAATCCTTTATAGGTGAAATACGGGCTCAACGACACCTGAAAGTCCACACAATTGATGTTTTAGCCATTTATCTTCCATAAATAAGGAAGATTGCAGCTAGTCTTTGGTATGGAAAAATAGCTCTACAGCATTAAACAAACTCTACCATTGACTTAACCTATTATAATTCAAATACGAGAAAGATCAAGGAAACGCACTCGTATTTTGCAGTTTTGACCATCAAAGTTCAATTCAATAAATTCAGCTGTTTAAGTTGCATCCTCTCCTATTTACGGGCTAAAATGGGGAAAAATGATCGGTGAAGGATGATCACTAGATAGGGGCTGTTCAAAAATAAACGCTTTAAACGAAAACTCGAGAAGATTTGATTTCTAAACATAGAAGACTTTTAGCTAATCAACTGCTTGCTGATGATAAAGATGATTTAGCTATAATTACCTTAGATGGTACATATATCAATGTCTATAAATAACCTCATAACATATTGCAACGCCGCAAAATATCATAACTCGTGAAATTTTTATGCCGAAATTGTACAGCAGAGCGGACAAAATACATTTTCAAATAGCTCAAGACTATCAACTTTGAACTTAATTCTTACTAATTTCTATATGCAAACTTAATTTTAAATAACTACGAATTGATTTCAACGAATTGGAAGTTTTCAAAAACTACAATATATCCTTATTTTGGTTTACAGACATATCGCAGAAATTCTGAGATTGTCATTGAATTCTTCACAAGAAAATGCTTCTGGAAAGTTAGCCTTTAACTACATTCAATCATGCAGAATTCTACCTGTGCCTTTGTATGACTTTTACTTGATAAATACACAAATATTCTCTTTAGTAGCGTTATTTTTACTGTATTCTGGTGCTGTATTACACTTTTGTCTACCTAAGAAATAGAATAGAACATAAAAAGTAATAAATTGTGTTCATATCTAATAATGTTTTGTTTTGTACAAAGAATTCAGGAGATTTCAATAAAAGACCCATATTGGTCTAGGAAAGATGTATTACGTGGGAGAATCCAGTGATTATGAAAGAGGGCAAGAAGAACACCGAGAGAATATTAATAAAGTAAATAAAGGTCCTGCTCCTACACAATTAAAATCTCTGTTAGCAGACCATTATGCGTTTGGCGACAATTGTAATACTGACTTT